CTGTTCGCGAAGGATGTGGCCGTGGTACCAGTGGGTGGGATGGCTGCAGCCGAAAAGCTCATACCAACCCCATCGTAAGACCTGCCGGGTAGCCCTGCGTTCATCGACTCCATGGAGGTCGCTGATGAGAGGCCGTCGGATAAGCGATGCCTTGTCTGTGGTGGTCCCTATTAGTAGTTGTTCGCCAGGTATGGTCACGTAGTGTGCACGGTAGCACACAATACTTACGCGCGAGCTGTACGAGCCCTTGGGATTGGGGCCTTCCAAGTCGGATGCAGACGTTTCATCGTCGGTATCATCGACATTGTAGCCAGAGGCAAAGGCCTCGGCGGGCGGTCGTGACGACTCTGGAATAAAGACGTTGACGCGGTCGCGGGGGCCGCTCTCGTTGGCGCCAGGCGCCTCCAGGGGCAGCTCCATGGTGCTCACGCCGGTGAGGGTGTTGAAATAGAAGAGCCTTCCATCAGGTGTCGCCTGGGGTATCCAGTAGGCAGCCTGATCCTCCTTGTTCGCCTCATTGTGCTGCTCGACCGCCCCCCCCCCCCCCTGGCACCGCTCCCCGGCTTGAAACGCTGGCATGGGATGGCCTCTTTCTCTCTCTCCTACCTCTACCACTCTACTCTACTCTACTACCAGAGAGAGAGAGACACACACAGAAGAGTCCAGACAGACGAGGGAGGGCGGAGGGATGTGTTCCTGCGTCATTCTACTGGGTATTGCAGGTACCTACATACCCTTACCATATGCTGCTACGGGCTGGCTGGATGGACAATGAATGGATGAGGATAACACTGGTCGTTTCGTGCTCTGCAGTCAGTCACATCTTCTCAGGTTGTTGTTGCTGTGGTTGTTCTATCTATGGTGTTACTTACCTACTGTACTATTACCTACAGGCTACTATCGTACATACCCTACCTACCCTTTTGCACGCTCGGTGCCTCTCTGGAGACGAAGGGGGAGCTTCTTCGGCCCACCCTGGGATCAACAGCAAGGGAGCCGACCAGCCCAGCCAGCAAAAAACGCACGCTCACAACCAGCCTTCGCGGCCGTCTCTGATTAGCTCGAGCGTGTCAGGCAGACAAGAGCACACCGCAACAAAGACGGTCCATCCAATCGACAGCGTCTAGGTAGCCTACGGTACAGTACACACAGTAGTAAGGTGGGTGGACAACAACTGGACTGGAACCTGGGAACCACTTATTCGTTGGAACGACAAACCTACTTGTCCATACCTACTCCTACTAACCCTACCCCAACCCTACCACCAACGGCGGCTACGCGCTGGCTGAGCGTTGGCCATGCACACGCCTGACTTGACTGGCTAGCGACATCAAAAGGGCACACAACATCCCGGCCGCCGACAAGCAAGCCATGGCCCCATCCATGCCCACACCCTTTTGCTTTTCTAAATACAGCACAGCGCCCACCCACCCATCCATGACCTCCAACAGCATGCACACAGCACCCACAGTACGTACCAACAGTAGGTATAGGTACATGAATAATACTGTACGGTACCCCTCTCCTGAACCATGGGCGTCCAAGACCAGGACGACATCGCTAGGTAGCGGGTAGCCTGTGCACACTAACACAAGGTATGATCTTGTAGTGTGTATGTACATAGGTAGGCAAAGGCAATACCTGCCTGGTACGGCAAACAACCAAGTGGATCAAGTAGGTTATCATCATGAGACGGCCGTCCAATGCGCCCTCTTTTGTTCTCTTTGCCACTGTGGCCTTCCCCCCCCCCCCGCGCGCACACCGTGCATGAAATTAAGAGCCAGACTTTGCCAGCCTGCAGGACTCGAGCGTACTGGTAGGTATTGTACGTGTATTGTACCGGTAGGTATTGTATATTGTACGAGTCTACGAGACCAACACCGTGCACCCACCACCCCGTCAGCA